AGAGAGAGAGAGAGAGAGAGAGAGAGAGAGAGAGAGAGAGAGAGAGAACGAGAACAGAGATAGTAGGGTGCCACAGTCCTCTTTGAGACCATATTCCCAGTGATAAGAATGAAGACTTCCTATCAGGCACCAGGCCTTATATGCTTTACCCCAGACATTTAATGGGAGACATTGAAGGCCTAAGCTATAGCAGCAGGTGGCTAAATACCAAGTGCCACCTTTGGTTTAAATAGAGATGACTGTAAATGTGGACAGAGAGCTGTAACCTGATGGATTAGTTACTTTTCTGTTGTTGTGATAAAACACAGTGGCCAAGGCCACTCACAGAAGGAAGGGTTTGCTTAGGCTTACGGTTCCAGAAGTGTGTAAGAGTCGGTATTGGCAGGGAAGTTGCAGCCATGATGGCTGGAGTAGCAAGTGAGAGCTCAGTCTTCAATTGCAAGGACAGAACAGAGAAGAGAGCCAACCCACAGTGGCAGTCCTTAAACTCCCAAAGCCAGCCTCCAGGGACAGGCCTCCAAGGCCACACCTTTAAAGCCTCTCCAAACAGCATCCCCTACTGGGGAGTAAGTATTCTAATGCCTGCAAGTGAGGGGCACCTCATTCACACTACCACACCTGATTGAAAATACCAGGGATTTCTGTTAACGACTAAGTTAATAGATGCTGTTAACTTTGCTGTTGTGCTGTTTCTGTTTAGGAATACATAATTTCTTTTCTCCTCACCATCCCAGGTTGGCCTCCAACTGTTTTTGCTTCTTCCTCGTGGGGGGGGGGGGGCGGCAGTTGAACAGTGCTTAGTCATGTGCCTTGTGAAAGTAGTTTTATATTCACGTCTGACGTAAATTGATTCACTGAATTTGCAGAAAAGTGTTTAACAGTGGAAGTAGAAATGTAAATGCAGCATTAGTTTTTAACTTTGGAGCTAATAAAAACTTACTTACTTAAAGTTTTAAGGGCCTAAGGAGATAGATGGCTCCGTGGTAAGAGCACTTTTTGTTCTTCCAGAGGACCCACATCAGGCCATTCACAACCGTCTGTAACTCTAGGTCCAGGATATCTGCTGGCCTCTCGTACCAGCCCTCAAGTGGCGTACATTCACACAGGTACATACACACACACAAAGAAGTAAATAAAGTTCTAAAATCTTTGCTTATGAAGCAGAGATCATCTAACATTATTTAAAAACCATATTGCGGGCTGGAGAGATGGCTCAGCAGTTAAGAGCACCGCATTGACTGTTCTTCCAGAGGTCCTGAGTTCAATTCCCAGCAACCACATGGTGGCTCACAACCACCTGTGATGAGATCTGGTGCCCCCTTCTGGCCTTCAGGGACACATGCAGGCAGAACACTATGTATAATAAATAAATACTAAAAAAAAAACCATATTGCATGTGTGTTCATAAGCAGCATTGCTAAGAGCTTCAAGCTGGCAGCAGGCAGATGTCTAACAGGAGAATGGATGAACTGTTTAAATCAGTGGTTCTCAATAAGATATCCTATCCTGCCTATCAGATATTTATATTATTCTTTGTAATGTAGCAAAATTACAGTTACGAAGTAGTAACAAAATAATTTTATGATTAGTGTCACCACAACACAAGGAACTGTATTAAAGGGTGGCAGCATTAGGAAGATTGAGAACCATTGGTTTAAGTAATCCAGCAATGGGGTAAGTGGCCTATTGCCAGGTGCAGCAGTAGTTCACATGGGTGAACTTCACAAGCAGAGCACTGAAGGCCAGAAGCTGAGCTCAAGAGGATATCCCCTGAAGTTCCTTTATATAAACATGTCAGACAGGCCAGAGTAGCAGAACAGTGCTCACTACCGGGAGGAACACTGGAGAGCACCCAGGAAAGACATGTCCGCTAGGCATAGTCAGTGACTGAATCTGGGTGATAAATAGTGTTGACCTTGTGAAAGTTCACCCAGTGGTGGTAGTTTTGTGGTTTGCACACTGCTTTGTAAATGTGCCAGGCCTTGATACAAATTGTAATGAGGGCAGAGCTTTCTTTTCATTTTTTTCACTGTGTGTGTGTGTGTGTTTTCATTTGTGCCTTCTTGCCCCCAGTCTCCTGAGTGCTGAGATTACAGGTGTGTAATCTTAATATTTTTTTGTCACTGCTTCTCTTTCTCAGCCAGTTTAGCCAATCAAAACAAATTCTTTGGTGAATTAAAACTTGATTTTGCTCTATCTGAGGCTTTGTAGGGATTATGTGGGACTAACTGGTTCCAAATAGTCTCAAATGTGAATGTACTTAAACTATAATCCGGCAATTCCTTTTGTTTAGTTTGAAAGTCAAGAATGTTTCATATGGTAATTCACATGGTATTCTGTTTGGCACTGCTTACAGAATGTTACTGTTGAGTGGATAGTCCTTTTCTTCTCATTTGT